CTTAATATATACATCCTCTAAACTGACGAACATGACCTAATTACAGGTGATGGTAACTTAATCCATCTCACGATACCCTAAAAATATTAAGTTGTACCCATGGATGCTATAAAGAGAAAACGTTATGTAAGCTTCATGTACCTATTATGGTTGTGGTATATTGTTACCGACAATGTAATTAAAATTAAAAAGAACTCAATGTTACTAGCAGCAGCTTTTAGTTCACCTCACTCTGTTTTCAGACTTTCTCGCTTAACTGGCAGATAACACACAACCGCGGTTGTAACAATTTTTGTTAAATTTTCCCACTCACCCAAATGAACAGGATACAGTTCTCCTGGTGGAATTCTAATTCCACTGTCGACTGGAAATTTATTAATGATAAAATACACCCTCCCTTCTATTTCCACTGCACCAAGATTGTTTAGGGGAATGTGTTTTTGTTCCACAACAGACCAAGTGTTATTTTCCTCGTCATAACCTTCAACAGGTGCAGGGTCACCACTTACATTAGCGTTTTCATCAATATATACATTGCCCCCTGCAACATAGAGTTTACTGTTTACCACAAGAAGGCTAGATCCAAAGTGAGGCTTACAGGTAGTTGCTTTTAGTTCCCATTCGTTCTTTACTGGATCAAAGCAGTGTAGCCCTGAATTCTGCACACACCAATTGCCACCTGAATCCAGTTTTACACTTCCATAAAGGACATACACCTTTGAGTGAAGTGCTGTTGCTCCGCTATTGTGAAACCGGTTACCATGATTGCTCCTAATACTAACTTTTGAGAAAGCTTGCCACTGACATTTAGAAAAGCAATACCTTTGAGGAACCTGATTGCAATTAGAATTGATTGCATACACTGTATCCTCTATAATACATAAATTGTTGATTTTACCGCTTAAGTGTGGATACTTCTCCCACACACTCCCTTCTGTATTATAACGATAAATGTAATGACCAACACCCCATTCAAATCCAGCAACATACAAGTTGTTGCCAGCCGATGCAGCACAGTGACACTGGGTCGCCTCAATTGATGGTATTGTCGATGCTAAAGGTTTCCACGTTTTTGCTTCATTATCAAAATACTGCATGTGAGCCTGAGGTAGAACTGCAATGAGAACCTGAAATAAGAGGAAAGGAAAATCAAATCAGGCTAACTTTAAATATCACAAACGTACTTAATAGGACAATTCAAACAATTAGTCCGTCAGAATTTCTATGAATTTTGATTAAGATAAATGGCAAATTTTCGGAGATGACATCTGTGTATTTAATAGATCGCGCCACTTCGTTAGTTTGGAAAAGTGAAGGCCATTCTCTTACCGGACGAGTTAACCTTGTTTTTGTTTTCTCCAAAGCAAACTTGGGATGACGAAAAGGCATGTAGCTATGGATTAACGCCTCAACTAAATGCTTTTGAATCTCAGAAATTCTTTCCATTTCCTCTGTGTCCAGTTCTTCAATCACAACCCTGATATCCACCAGCCCCAGACGAACAGCTCCGATAACTTTGGCTGCAACGGCCATCCTCTCTTCCTTCTTGTGTTTAATCCACTGCATCACTGATTTGAAGACGAACGTCTCCGAAGGTGCATTGAGGTCATCTCGACTGAGAAGGCT